ATTGAGGAGGTCCACTAGGATGGATTGTGGATCTTAAACCCACTTCACATTGTGACATGAACTCTTTTGCTTTCCAGTAGATGCTGGCACGAAACTTCTCACATGCTACCTTCTATGGGCCTAAACAATTCATTGCACCTGAGAATGGAACAACTAGATTTGCTCATAGTGTACATGCACTACAGTTTCCTAAGGTAGACACAGCAGCAAAGCCTCTCTCAGTTATGTGGGATCAGAGCTCAGTTGTTGCTTTAAATGATCATGGAACATGTTAATCTGACATCTGCAGAGCCAGAACCAGGTAAAAACTTTAACTTGATAACGATGACACTTACAAATTTATTTCTTCAAGTAATCAATTCTCAATCTTCTTCAGACACGGGAAAACTTGAACCTATTTATAAATTAAAACCATATAGCAGTAGTCACATGCTTAAATATCCTTTATCCCCAGAAAAATCTGATTCTTACAGGTTTCTGGCCTTTGTAAATTATTCTATAATATGTTTGTTTTATGTTGCTTTGAAGACATACTTCCTGAATTTTTTTCCAATTCCTACCTCTATTTTAGTTTTGTTATTTATTTTTTTTTTGGGTCATTGGGGGAGGGGTTATTATAATATTTACCATTTTAACGAGTTCTTCAAGGTACCTTGTCACTGCATCATCAGACCATACTGTCAAGCTATGGAATGTCGATGGTTTTAATTTGGAAAAAGTATTAACATGTAACTTTCAGCACAAATATCTACTTTATCTTTTGAATTTCCATCATTAGCAGGTTAGTAGTGATGACACTCGTTTTTCTCCTTATAATGCCATACATAATACATATATGCCACAGCATATGAACATCATCAGGTATGGGATTGTGTTTTAATTTCTCAACAGATGGCTCATACTTAATTAAATGGCAATGTAAATTATTCTCTAATTTATGATTATTCAGTCAGTATGCCTTCATGAGCATCCTACTTTGGCCTACATTGTCTTGAAATAAGATGGACATTAAGTAGAACAACCATTTATTGGAACCTAGGATATTACTTGGGCCAAAAGCTTGATATGACCCAATGATCATAGCCATTGCAGTCCTTTTTCTTCAGACCCATACTGAAATTTTCTAACCTATCAAAAAATGTAATAGATATGATGGTTAGTCTCATCCAACAGGATCAGATTTTGCTAGATCCCTAAGGTAGAACTAGTCAAGGTGTTAGGTGTATACCTACCCTTCTAAAGTGGGAGTCGCTAGAACTTGGAGGCACAAACATTAAGCATGGAGTTTTTCTTCCACATGATGCTTCATCAGATTCAACTTGTGAAATGTGGTGTGCAGAAACAGGGGAGACACCTTGGTATTTGAAGGGCATTAAATGGCCGCCATCTGCTGTGCTCTACAAGATGGCAAGTTTACAATAATGGTAGGTCATATTTTTTAGAGAAAAAATTGGGTGAGTTCTGTTGCATTTGATGTATATAAACACACACTATCAGGTGGTTTGTTATGTGTTTAGTTCCATTAGTATGGTCATAGATCGCTCACAATGTTTTCAGCCATGGATTTCAAGTTTTGCTAGTTGACAATTAACATTATTGGTAGTTTTGCAGATTCGTTGGAGATCATTTTAAATTTAGTGTTTAATTTTAACTTCCAGGCATTTGATCATGTCTTCATCACAAGAAATGGATAGTGGTGAACTAGTGACCACTGTTCCTTAGTTCAGTCCAATTGACAGGTGGAGTGATCTTTATCTTAATGATACAACATCTACTACTAATATAAAGCAGATACTTGCCCTGGGTTCCATGCAGATCATAAAAGATAAATCCAAATACCATATATCATATATATGGTTAATATTTACTTGCAAACATGCATAGCATGTGCTCTTACACTGGTACTAATAATGTGCAGAGGACAGAGCAAAATTTAACAATGATACAAGTTTTATTCAAGAAATAAGAAATCTAATTTAACAAACATTAAAGCAACTAAAAAAATACTATAAAAGAACATTAAAAATACAATAGAGCTCTTTACCTTTGTTTGATATAGAAAAGCATTCTTATTCGTTGCTCTCACCAAGTTTGTTTACAACTCATATTTTGTTGAGGAATCCTGTGAAATCTGAACTTTACATGGTAAGTGACCTGGTGGCTATTTACCCTATAAAACACGAAAGATTTGACATATCAAATTCTTGCATAAGATCTAGTAGTTAATATAGCCTTTTGAGCTAGTTGTTGATCTATAAGTACCCAAGGCATCTTGTAGGTACAGAGTAAACTGCATTTTCACTACACGTGTTACTCTTATACAGGTTCTCACAGAGACAAGAGAAATGTACTATATTCTTTTAACATATTTCTCTTGTCCAATGTTAAGGATTTCTCATGCTTGCAATTCCTGAGACCAAATCTAGGGTATTTGTGACATTAAAGTAACATCACCACTAGATTTAACTACCACAGTATCTGCTAAATTGACGAGTTTTTTCAATGTGTAGGTGGGTCTTAATTGGGTCATGGTACTGTTACATGGTAGTTGACAAATTTGGGAAGGCAGGTTCGTGTTAACTTCCTCTATTTTAGGTTGTGTTTGGTACGATTGCTGTTTGAGGGTGGGCCTTGACGCAACAGTTGGGTTGCTCCATTGCAACCTGGGTGACTAGGGTTCAAATCTCGGAAACAGCCTCTCTGTATGTGTAGGGGTAAGACTGCATACATCTGTCCCTCCCCAGACCCCGCATTGGCAAGAGCCTCATGCAATGGGCTGACCTTTTTCGGTACAATTTCTGTTTCTACCTGAAAGGTTTTGGGTTGACCAATACAAAGTGGTGACTGGTGAGAGATATGTTTTGTAACATCACATATGAGACTTTTTCTAGAATGATTAGACGTCAACCCCGTTGAAGAATCAATTTTTGGTTAAGTATCGATTTTTTGGCTAAATACCTCGTCATTTGGTCTGCTTCCAAGTGACCGATGAATCAGGCCGAAATGGAGAACTTTGGCTGCCAAGCTGAGTCAAGCTGGGCAGGATAGATGGCGAACTGACTATAGTGCCAAGCTACCTATGAGGTGCCAAGCTGACCAGGTGGTGAGCTGCCTGTGAAGTGCTGGGCTGACCAGGTGCCAAGATGCTTGTGAGGTGCTGGGCTGACCAGGTGCCGAGCTGCCTGTGATATGCCGGGCTGACCAGGTGCCGAGCTGAATTGATGAACTTCGTTGCTCTTTAGAGACCTACAAGGAACCAAATGTCAGAGGACCTGGGGTGGCTAACCCGGCGAGGTCGCTCCGATGCTTAAGTCAATACTCTCATAGTAGATTGCGAGCTAAAAATCACCAAATCTGAGAGCTAGAACTTGCTTACTTGCTTGCTCTGTCACTGGGGTAGGTGCCTTTATATAGGCCTTGCTTAAGTATCGCCCCCAAGATCTCCGGGAGGTCGTGTCTAACTAGTCCGAGATTCCTGGAAGTAACCGCCATGCACGTTGACCACCCTTCAGATCGTTCGACGTGGGCCAACTTCCAAGGATCGTGGGAGTGTTTGGATATGCATGCCGAATTCGTCGGTGAGCACGTCTTGCAAGTCGCTGGGTCGGAACATGTGCCAGACCGCCAGGTCGGTGCTTGTGTCAGGTCGCCAGGTTGGACACCATCAACTTGGCAAGTTGTTGCCTGAGTGGTTCCGGGTGTCACCTAGTTGTTCTGAGGTGCCATGTGTTACAATGTCATTAGAGGGCAAAATCCACCCTCATCATTTGCCCCCCACTCCCGAGCTGAAAGTAACTCGGCGAAGGGAGTAGATTTCTCCTTTTGGCCCGGAATGAATAATTCGATGAGCTCGTAAGCGTCGATTCAATTCCTTAGGCTCTGGGAGCGACTCACAGTCCGCTCCTTGATTTTGCCCATGCCGAAGAGGCGACTGGGTCTTATGTGGTGATGAGGTCTTTGCTAGTTCAGTATTTTGGCCCTTAGGCTCTGGGAGCGACTCGTAGTCCACTCTCCTTGATTTTTCCCATGCCGAAGAGGCGACTGGGTCTTATGTGGTACCGAGGTCTTCGCTAGTTCGGTACTTTAGTGCTATGGCTGCATTGCATCAGCCTCGTGACACCGGTCATCCACTCCTACAAGAAGCTACTAGGAGCTCGACCTACAGGGGCAGCACTACTGACTTTAGGTCGCCAGCTCGCACAGGAGCCTTGGAAGGCTCGATCAACAAGGGCGTTCATGCAGTCTGTTGGCCGCCAACTCCTGCGGAAGCCACGAAAAGCTCATCTTTGTAGAGGGGACCTCGTGGAGATGACTGATGAGGCTTTATCCGAGTTGAAATAAAGTTGATAGAGTTGCTTAGTCTGTTAACTATCAACTTCCTGCATAGTCTTTGAGTTCATAAAAAATGGAAACTATAAAGCGAGGGCTTTAGTTTCTAAAAAGTGAGGACTTAGCTTTCTGGAAGAAGAGGATTTAGCCTTTTAGAGGATGAGAACTTGACTTTTTGTAGCGTTTTCCACAGACGACACCAATTGAAGAATCAATTTTTGGTTAAGTATCGATTTTTTGGCTAGGTACCTCGTCATTTGGTCTGCTTCCAAGTGGCCGATGACTCAGGCCGAAGTGGAGAACTTTGGCTACCGAGCTGAGTCAAGATGGGCAAGCTAGATGGCGAGCTGACTATAGTGCCGAGCTGCCTATGAGGTGCCGAGCTGACCAGGTGGTGAGCTGCCTGTGAAGTGCTGGGCTGACCAGGTGCCAAGCTGCCTGTGAGGTGCTGGGCTGACCAGGTGCCAAGCTGCCTGTGATGTGTCGGGCTGACCAGGTGCTGAGCTGAGTTGATGAGCTTTGTTGCTCTTTAGAGACCTGCAAGGAACCAAATGTCAGAAGACCCGGGGTGGCTAACCCGACGAGATCGCTCCAATGCTTAAGTCAAAACTCTCATAGTAGACTGCAAGCTAAAAATCACAAAGTATGAGAGCTAGAACTTGCTTACTTGCTTGCTCTGCCATTGGGGTTGGTGCCTTTATATAGGCCTTGCTTAAGTATCGCCCCCCGAGATCAACTTGGCAAGTTGTTGCTTGAGTGGTTCCGGGTGTCACCTAGTTGTTCTGAGGTGCCATGTGTCACAATGTCATTGAAGGGAAAAATCCGTCCTCATCACCTGTGGAGTAAGAAACATCAATTTGACATTTCTACAAACATCCTCCTACACATGCATTTTTAAGGCATGCCGATTTGAATTTGAACTATAAACAGCCTAAAATAGCAGTTGTATGCCAATTTTTATTGATCAACCAGAGAATTTCAGGTAGAAACAGCAATGGTACCAAACACAACCTTAGGCCTCCTAAATATGCACATTGCTGGTCCCTGATATTGAAAGAGTGGAACAGGGTGAAGGGCTAAAGAACAAAATATAATGTCATCATCATCACCATCCATGCCTTATCCCAACAAAAAAGGAAAAGCAGAACAGCAGGACATAAGACTTCGGGAATGTTCATTAGGTCCATGGAGATGACGGTCCATCAAGTCTAAATGCTTATGGTTGGTTTTCTTTTGGGCTCTGAAACTTCTTTTCAAGAAGTGAAGAATGCAAAAGGCTAAGGTGCCTTTAGAAGGAAATAACTTTAACCAGAAGACATGTAGGCTGTCATATGTGGCAAGCCAACTGTATCTTTCCCAACTATAAAAGTCAGAAAAGACCACTTCTTTCTTCCTTTATAGAGACTTTCACCAAACCAATGGACATGGCAGGTGGGTGGCCAGTCTGCAGCCGGAGTTAGTCTGGCTATTTCCATTACAATTTGAGATTTGTAGATCATAATCAACAGCGCAAATTGAATCTCTGTTTTCCAGTGAAACGAATCAAAAAGATTGTTACCATAAGCTCTATAAACAAGTAAAAGTAACTGGATTGTGTAAATGCCATTGCAAAAGATCAAATGGGACCTTTTGATTGTGGACAGTTTTGTAGAGGAGCTTCTGCAATTGGGTCACAATTATAATCAAGTCAATCCTCTGTGTTACACCTGTATGATCATTTAACTTGTGAACTCTTGGAATGAGACTGTTACTTTGTTTTCATTTATTTTCTCAGTGGAGTTGTTCTCAAAAGCAGAAGTGTTGCTGTCTGATCCACTTCACATGGACTCAGTTATGGAACTGCAGATCTCTGCATGCTTTCACATGACAAAAAGACTTTCGTTCACAAAATGCTTGATGCAAAACTTGGTCATCTCAATTTAAATGGCCATCCGTTAAATCCGCATGTGGCTTGTGTACTGATGTAAACATGAATAACGAAATGCATCATGGATACATAAAATCATAGTTGGATGCACATGAAAAGAGGGCAACATCAGTTGGTATTTTATTAAAATATTCAACTACTCATTAATGCCAGACTACTTCAGTGATTTGTTTTAATTGCAGAAAAGAACTTACGCAACAAAACAAATAAAAAGATTGCAATTAACCAAAACTATAGATCAACGTACAAAACCACAATCCTCACACCGAGTTTTCAGAAAATAGAAAGTGAATAAAGAAAATTATTAAACAGATTCATATAAAGTGAATAAACCCCAATCCTTACCTTGGACCATAATTTCTCATACAAAAGACAGAGAAAGAAACAAAACAAACACCAACCAATATATCACCTAAGACCCAGATTGGTCTGTTTTCAAACAAAACGCAGACATCCATCGCCACTCCACCTGCCGCCTATATAGCAGTTAGAAAGCAGAAACTGCAACCCACCGCCATGGAAGAGAAAGAGAAGAAGAAACAGAAACATAAAAACTCTAATAAATCCTCATCAGATCCTACTTTCAAGCCGAGCTCCGACGTCAAAGGACTCCGTTTTGGCGGCCAGTTCATCGTAAAATCCTTCACCGTTCGACGAGCCTCACCTCTGGAGTTCCTACGCCTCCTTGCTCTGCCACCCCCTAACGCCCACCACTACCAGCATCACCACCACAATCAACACAGTAGCAGTCAGCCCTTTCCATCGACCACAGCCTTCTTGCCTACCAACTTCACCATCTTAGCACATCATGCGTGGCACACACTCACGCTCGGCCTCGGCACAAAGAAGTCTAAAGTAATACTCTTCGTTTTTGAATCCCAGAGCATGAAATCCAGCGTCGACCGTATATGGCCGCCTGAGATTCCCCTTGGAGAAGTGAACCGGAAGCTTATAAGGGGTCTTACCGGGTCCGAGATGGCTCGTTTCAAGTTTAGGAAAGGATGTATCACCTTCTACGTGTATGCAGTTCGGCAAGTGGGTAGTCCTGGGTTCTCGTGTGCGGATGACCTGAGAACAATTTTACAATCTGTGGTTGCACTTAAAGATTTCTTGGATCACACTGCAATGCTCGCATTACCGAGCCAGAAAAGCATCAGTTTCTCGCCTCCGGTTGCCATGGCTCACTAAAAAAAAGAAGATTCTTCTTTCATTCTATATTTCTTTGTTTAATTTTCCCTCCTTCTGTGTTCAATTTTTTCCTGAGAAAATTTGTTCCTCTTCTTTTCCCCTCATGGTCATGGGAAGCAGCGGATTGAAGGATTATTTTTGTTTGTGTGTTCTTTAATTTTCTTCATTATATGTAAGAGAAAAAAACTGGGATTTTCATGTTGAAATGAATACAGTGAGTTGTTGATAAACACCATGTATCAGTTCAGATTTCTCTCATCTCCAGTCGACTCGACTAGTCCAGTCTCCTTTCCTCCTCCCATAGGACGTGACGGGATCTGTCTCCTCACTAATGGGCGCCTCACATCTACATCCACCGTGCATTGGGAACATCTCTCGTGAATAATACGGGAAATGTTTCAATATATGATAGGAATCATAGGATGTGTGTATGTGAGGCGCCTGTGAAGCGCCAAATGTGAAGAGCAGATCAGATCTTCCATAGGACCATGGGATCGAACAGCTTATCTGCAGACGGCAGCATATACGAACTTCAAAGGCAAGGGCAAAAATGTGATTCTGCTAACAATGAGGGGGTATTGTAGGAATCAACCATCAATATGTTGCTGAAGCCTGAATGCCCTCTTTTTCTCTTTTCTGAATTTTTTTCGATGTTCCACCCAACAGGATTACAGGAATCACGAGGGATTTAATATCTTACACATGTTACCACGTGATCCATCCAAATGGGGGTCGTCAAGTTGGTGTCTCCAAATGATCCTGTCCGTCTGATCAATACTTTCCCCTCAATTTGGGATGATCAAAGATTTTAATAGTTGGCACACGCGGACATCTATGACATCCAGACCGTCCAAAAATTATTTAATTAAGGTAGTGGGGATTTATGTCTGAAGCTGGTCTATAATTTATATGCGTATGTGTGAATTTTAGTCCATCGGATAATGGGATGAAACAGTGGACCATGGTTGAGTTAAAGAGATGTTGCAGAGAAGAGAAACTCGGAAAAGGGCAAAAAAGAAAAATATATAAAAAAAGGAGGTAGTTGGATTGTTGGTTAAATGATGGATAGACACATTGACTCTCGTGAGACTTATGATGACAGGGGGAGGGTGAGGACAGATAGCAAAGCAGCTGTCTCGCACTATGCACCCAATTAGAAAAGCAGAGCAGCATTAATTGTTGAAGCCTCAAATGGGGGCCCAACCTTCCCCATCCCCTATCCCCACCTGCTTATTACTTTAGGAGACTTTGGTCTTCAAAAGGGAGGCAAGAAGCCAAGAACCTTCCTTTTCCACTCCCTCCTTTAATCATTCCTTTTAAAGTGTTAAGGCCTTTTTCTACTCCCTCCTTTAATCATTCCTGTTAAAGTGTCAAAGGCTCTGTTTGGAATCGGGAATAAATGAAGAACGATGTAAATAATTATATTGGTTTGATTTTATTATTGTTTAGAAGGAATGTATAATAATGATTAATGTAAAATTTTATTTTGATTCAATTGTGTGTATATTTGAATAGAGTGAAATTCTATGTCATGAATTAATATAAAATTCTATATTGATTTAATATTTATATTGATTGCATCACGTTTTTTAAAAATACAACTATCACTTAATAACGGTCATATAAAACATTATCAATGTACTTTTACACGGATTCTAAACGCAGCCTAATATAGAATTTACTCAATGATGTCATACATATATCATTGTATACATAAGGGTAACATACATGCACACATGATGATGCTACCGTTCATCTTACATTGACAAATACCACCCACCACTTGAGTCCAAATCAGTTCCTCCTAACTAAAATCTAATCCAAGTATCTAACAACTCACCCATATCAGAGTGCAAAGGGAAGGAAAACGTAGTTTATAGTTTATAATACCAAACAAAGTTTAGCGACTGATATTAGATTAGTGGGGAAATGAAGTAGCAAGTACCAACCAACTAATGGGTCGATCTCAATGTTTTGAACTTGCTCACTGTTATAAGGAAGCTAGGTGTGCGGACATGCTTACTAATATAGCTTTAAATCGGTTAATTCTATATAACTATCTAGATCGTCCTCCTTCATAGAGGTTTTGTCATTTATGTAAGACTTTCCAGGTGTTCCCCAATGGCGTTATAGTATTCGTTCTATTTTGTAGTTCTCAGTTTTCATCCAATGAAAAAATAAAAAAGTTATCACTGAAAATAAGAATGAGAGGCTGTGTTTAATTTTGGTTTAAATGCGGACGATTGTTGGTTTGTTTTCATTAAATACAGACCGGTATAAAATTCTGATGTAAATCATTTACTCTATTGACTTTTTCATATACATTATTTATTTATATCAAAAAACCTCCAATGGTCCATTAAAATTTTAAACGTATCAATTGACTTTTTCATTGATGGATGATTTTTCCACCAAAATCAAATACAATTAAGGGAACGTTTGCCAATAATACAAAAGTTCTAAATTGCAGACATAGTAGTTATGCCCATGATACAAATATTATATATTCGTTTCTGTATTAAAAAATGGAATGGAAAATCACTGTGGAAAAATATGTAATTTTTTTGTATAAATACATTTGCACACAAATAATAAGAACTTTTAAATATATGAAATAAACAAATAGAATACTTTGTTTTTCTAATAAAGCTTATACAAATATGATTATATTTTCTACGTCTTCATACGTTCAAAAGTTATTCATGCCTATCAAATTGCAACTCCAATACTCTGCTAGTGTGAATTCGTCACATACTATCAGTAGGCAATTAGCATTAAAATTTTGCCAAACTCTTGAAATGAGAAAATAAGATTCATGTAATCAATCTCAATCACCATATGGGAATAAGGCATAGATGATGATGATGATTAAATTATAACTCAAAAAAAAAAAGTAGTAGCTAGATTCACTTTTTAACATGTTAAACCTTTCATTTGTTTTTTTTTTTTTTTTTAATAAAGATGAATTAGATCTTTTTACCATACTATGTATACTTGTTTGAATTTTTCACCTAATATTTTTGTGTTCTTGAATATATACAAACTCTTTTCACATTGTATTTGTGCTGTAGCCTGTACGGGTATTATTAAACTATAGTCTTGAATTTTGTTTTTCTTTCAAAGAAGAAAAATTTGGGTTCAAGGTTCATAGTATTGACACATATCGACTTGTATTGATTGATATGTATCGTTTTGGAAGTTCTCCAATACGTTTTTATAAAGGGTGTATCGGGGTTCTGGCCGATTCAGGGGGTAGAGGAGCTTTAAACCGCCCCCGAACCAGTTTTAAAAAAATAAAAAAAAAGTAAAAAAAAAAAAAGACAATGYCAATATAACCCAATACACCCTACCGGTGTATCAAACATATTGATATTTTGAACCTTGCTTGAGTCTGCTTAATACAGTTTATTTTACATAATGGTTTATACGTAAAACCACCGTCCCCACTTCCAAGAAAAACAAATTATAAAATTCCACTGCTGATATTGATAAATCTACGTGGTCAGAATTCCTCTCTCTTTTCCATCAGATGGCATTTTCTGGCATTTCTGCCAGAGGCCAATGTGGACAGTCCATCCATAGGAGAGATTCTTTGGGCTGGGCATGGACCCTTCATAAATTAGCTACTCTGAGCCCATTTGGATTTTGGAGGGCTGTCCTACTATTGGTTTTTGGTTTTCATGGATTTTGAGACCCAGAGAATCAAACAGGAAACAGATTGTGTTTCCAAAATGCCAAATTTTCAGCATGAAATGTTAAGGCATTCCCCCCAAACTGCTCAGTTTTAGCTCTTCCAGCCCAGTATTACACAGCAGCCAGAACTCAACTCATAGCAGTAACGCGGTGAAATGGGCTAAAATTGAGCCGTTCTTCATATTTTATTTAGTTAGCCATTCGCGGGATAGGGAACCAGGGAAGGGAGAGAAAAGATAGAGCTTTTTCAGTTTTATAACTGGGTAATTTGAGTGTTCCTGCTATAAAAGAGAAAAAGAGACTCATAGGCTAAGCCTGTCTTGCCTGTGCCCACATATGGAAAAGTTTATGGATTGTTTGTTAGGTGAAGTCTTCTATTTCAGTCACATTTGACAACGATTCGTTTAAAGGGGTGTTCTATAGTGTGGATGAGAAATTAGTGGGTGTAGACTAATTCACATCACGCCTTTGGCAGAGACCAATCCACATCACACCATAGTCCACAGTTGTTTTTAACTGTGGATAGATTGTATGGATCGGACCAGTCTACACCACACTTTTTGATTTTATGTATCTCATATACATTTTATGGAAGATTTACATAGTCAATCATAAATATCTAATTTCTGCATTTTATATGATAAATAAATTTAAAAAAAAAGGCATCAATAAATTAATATGTAGGCAACAATTGTATTTTTTAAATAATTAAAAATATTATTTTAAAAATTACAAAAATTATATTTTAAATATTATTTTATTGATAAAATATTAAAAAATTAATATTTAAATAATAAAAAAAGAGTGGAGAAGGAGAACCATCGGACTTGTTTTACTATTTTATTGATAAAATATTAAAATTTAAAAATTTAAAAATTTAAAAATTATTAAAATATTAAATAAAATGAGAGTAATTGGACTAGTGTAGCATAAGTGTGTTAAATTGAAACCTTCCCACAAATAGTCCATACCATAGTGTGGACCATCCACGAGAAAATACTATGAACGATAAATTGGGGTGTGACACGTCCTTGTCCATGCTACTTTATAGCAAAACACCATATCTTACTATGGACAGAACCAAAACGATCTCATCTATGATATTTACACACTACCAAACGCCACCTGAACTGTTTATTATATAGATGGTCCTCGATCTAAACTCAAGTTCTTTTCATGTTAGTTTTATGGCTTACCATATACAAGATTACCGTCCACACATAGCAAAACACCATATCTTACCATGGATAAGACTAAAACGGTCCCATCCATGATATTTACACACTGCCAAACGCCACTTGAACTCTTTATTATATAGATGGTCCCCGATCTAGACTCAAGTTCTCTTCATGTCAATTTTATAGCTTACCATATACAAGATTACCGTCCATACATAGCAGAATACCATATCTTATCGTGCTACCAAACGCCACCTGAACTCTCTATTATATTGATGGTCCTCGATCTAGGCTCAAGTTCTCTTCATGTCAGTTTTATGACTTACCATATACAAGATTCTTTCTTTTTATTATTATTATTATTATTATTATTATTATTATTATTATTATTATTATTATTATTATTATTATTTCGCTCACAAATCAGTAGGCTCTATCTGTTGAAGTATTACATTAAAATTGAAGAACAAGTCAAAATAAAGAGAGATCATTTTGCCTCGTGGCATAGGAGTATTGTTGTGTGAAAGTTCTCAATGAGAGGGTAAGGCCGACACTAGGGGCTTGTTGGATCACCAGCAATTAGCAAAGCTGTTGTTATGGTAAGAACAATACCATTCTAAATTTTTGCCTACCCAAAAAGGGAAGACGAGGGGACTACTAATTCATCATCTCTATCTTCTCTCGTCACTTTTCATCCAAATTTCAAAGTCTACATGATAGAAACAACTGACTAGTCTGGTTGCACTCAACCTTGCTGATTTAAAATCCCAATCTCTCCGGTCCTGCTCCAATCCATTTGGATGGGCGAGCAGGGTGCCCATGGCTTTGTAGTTTAGTTTGTATGGTACGTCAGTAAGAAGATCATCTTTAATATATTCATATTCATAGTAACTCAACATCAATAAATATCGATACATTCGTACCCACAATTAATACATTAATTATTGGTTTTTCAAAAATAGGTATACAAGTCCCCAAAAAATGACATCGAACATGATATATCTTCTATCGCAACGTTGTTGAGTTGAGAGTTGAGACAATCTTCTTTTATGTTCAGACCACCGTTCGTGGATTATCTAAGAAGATAAACAAAACTTTAAATGCGGTAGGTTCGACCCCAGCATTTCTATCAGGTTAAATAAATGTAGTTCATAAACTGGACGGAGACACCTAAAACATGTACGGCCAATCTATACTTAATGCTAGAGCATCATATTTAGAACTCAGAACTCAACTCACAAGGATTATTTTATTTGCGATGGCCATACCTTACCTACCCAAATACCCATGTTCCATTCACATTACCTGCCAACATCTCCAACAAAGAATGTGGAGGGTTTCAGGCCTTACAACCTTCCTATATAAATCTTATGCGAGGGCAGTCTCATGGTTGTCAATTTGTGTTTTTGTATATTCTTGTGAATTTGATATATCTTTACCAAACGCTTCCATCCAGCGGGGATAGCTCAGTTGGGAGAGCGTCAGACTGAAGATCTGAAGGTCGCGTGTTCGATCCACGCTCACCGCATCAGTTTTATTTGTAGTTGATTAAATAAGATGTGGGTCGGGCTAGATTGCTTATGCTTTATGGTTTATTTTCTGGTTCCCCAAACCTTAATTGTTTTATGTTTTAATTTTTAAATAATTAATAATTATTTATATTTTATATATTATTTTTAATAATTTTTTTTATAATACAAAAATAATAATAATTAATTTCAGTTAGGATTGTTTATCAAAATGATTAATCAGATCCAATTCAATGCAAGTTGGTTGATTTTTTAATACTTCCGATCGGCTTTGGCTAGCAATTTTCCAATCCGAGTAGGTTGGGTCAATTTCGGTTTGGCCAATTGTAAACTGACTAAAACTGAACTGATCCAACATATATATATATATATGTGTGTGTGTGTGTGTGTGTGTGTGTGTGTGTGAAAAAATGGAAAAACTCCTATATTTTTTAGTCTAAAATATTTTATATCATAGATTTAGTTTTATTAATTGATTTTTTTTAATAATACTACTATAATTTTTTAAATTTAAATTTAATTATAAAAATTACTTTTTTCTTTTAAGTTTAACTCTTTTGATTCAACCAACCAAACCAATAATCGACCCAAACCGATATAACCCGAGTTGGCCGGGTTTCAATAATGGCTAGTCAATTTCAGGTGACCAACTCTCCAACCTTACCAAGTTGATTTGGTTAGCCAAATAACTTGCAACCAAACCGAACCGGCCTGTGAACACTCCTAATTTTATTTAAATTAATAGTCTAATATCTAAGAATAGTTTAATCTCCAATAATTATTGAAAATTTATAGCAAAAATGCACAATTATTGAAAATAATTTAATAATAAAAATACAATAGTTATAAAAATACAATAAATACAATTATTATTAACGTATTTAAAAGGTTTCGTTATTTTAATTTTATTTATTTTAAAGTTACTACATAATATTAAATATTATATTATATAATTATTTAGCTATTTTTAATATTTCATTATTTAAGATATTTAGTTATTGAAATATTTAGATAATATTTTTTAATGTTAAATTTTTATTATTTGAACAACAGTTTAATTGAATAATCCATAAAATTATAACTCATACTATTAGTACATAATTTCGTGATGAACAAAATATAAAATTATTAATAATATAAATATTATTAAATACCATTATAATTATTTTTTGTAGTTTTAATAAATATTTTAAATCTATTATATAATTTTGTTATAATATTTAAATAATTCTTAAATTTTTTAATTCAAACTTTCTTTAGATAGATATAGATAAAAAGTGGGGGAGAGTATAAATAGAAATTAGAGATAATTTAGGACAAAGTGGGGGATAGCGGTGCCACTTGGTTAGATAATAGAAAAGTAAAGTCATATTTCTTTATCTATTGGTTGTTGGAGATAATTTAGCCTATGTTGTTTCCTTATTGGTTTCATGGTTAATTACATGGATTTAAAAATAAAAAATAAAAAATTAAGAAGGGAGGTTGGAGAAAGGAGATGCATGATTGCATGAACAACCTTGCTTTATGTTTAAGCCTTGAAAAGACCGTGAGGTTTTACCTCAAGGGCTTAAGTTTTTGATAGAAAGAGATATAAGCCTAAAGTCTCAAGCATGAGGCGCAGAAAGACCTAAAGCCACAAAAACCTCCGACAATTTAGTTATTTGATTTTGATACGGAAAAAAGAACCATTGTTGGTTGTTTTATTAAATGCTAAAAGTCTAGAATATGTTAATTTTATGAATACTTCTAAGTTCTATTACTCTATCCTAATTTATTATATGTTCGTTTTATAAGTTATAAAATCTTTTTTTTTTTTTTAATTTGAAGCTAACGTGTTTCTATGCTTCACTTTTTTTGAAGCATTACGACTCAATTATGCCTTCAGTTTGGCTTTTCAGTAAGTTATTTATCGAGATAAGTAAATGCATTTACCTATGTTTTTTTTTTTAATTTCTCAGGCAATAAGATAATAACCATTTTAACCATAAAAATCCATTATTAAAAGAGATATTTTTATCTTATTTAAGTATTGGCAACTTTCTCCCAAGTAAGAAAATTACTTATCCACCTGGGAGATGGTGGGTAAATGATACCAGGTTCAAAAAATCTGGTATCTTTTGGTACAGGTGTTTCGAGATCCCACCCTTTTTTTAATTCCTCAAAAACCAAATTTTGAAAAAAAAAAACTAAAAATATATATATTTCCATGTGTATCAAAGTACCGACACGTCTCTGCCGATACGCAAAGGCGTATCGATACTTTGAACCATGATGGCACTAGAAAAATAAATTTTTACTCCCCACTAATCTGAAAATTAAATATGAATTTCTTAGCGAATCCGATTGACCAACTTCCCCCCTCTCACAATCCCCTAATTTTGAACTGACAACGGTAGTTTCAATGAAACGCAATTTCAACTCTAAGAGCGGCCACTTTGTATAAAAAAATGCCAAAGGTTAGATGTATATTCTGTCTACCCCCCCAAGACCCAGATAGATAGCTTGGAGAACTGTGATTTTTCTAAATGCTTTTTAATATTTTAATATCAATTTCCTTTTGATGTTAACAATCGACCAGCAGAATAGGAGATGAAGCCAATTGATAGAACCAGATGGCATTGTGATTAATAAATCTGAGGTCAGACCAACAAGTGAACTCACACATTTAAGGATCTGGAAGGACATTTTATCCCGTTCTAATGATGGTGATACAAGCAAATAAGTTTTCCAATAATAGCAATACCTCACAACAAACTAGCAGTTGTTTTTTAACACGGAAGAACAATGCTACTATGAACAATAAGTGAAGCCCATAAATTCTACTCCCCAAGAACTGAAAATCTTCCCGTTGTGTGGACCTGCTGTCAACTTCAAGATTCAGATAATAAGGGTGTGTTGTTGATAGAAGATGTCTCCTGGCTCAATCACAGAGGGTTGACAGGCGTGGAATTTAGTACATATATCCGTTGTCTCTAGAATATGCTGTGCATTGTCCAGGATCAAAGGAGCATACTCAAAAACCAGCTTCTTGCACTGCCATAGTTGAAAAAAGAATAGACACATGAGGGGAAAACCAAAACCCAACTTTCAAAATATTTATAACATGATCAAGTCATGGATTCATCTGTCGCTTTCCTGCTTCATGCTTTCACACCTCTGTAATTCAGTGCACTGTTTCACTGTGAGGACACTCCAAATTTTGGCACTCTGGTTTGCCTTGTCACTCAGATATTCTTAACAATTCATGAGCAACATCCTAATGGACTCGGGACAGCTAATGCCAAATTGTAATAACAGCTTACAGAGCCTATCTATCAGTATGGAACTGGCTTGGCTTTGTGGTGAACTAAAGAAATGGCCCATTAACTGGACAAGACTAGATTAAAGAGGTGGCCCTTTGGAGCTTATCTTAAGCAATAAATGATAGAAAAAAATCAATCTTGAAAACCAAAGGTAGATTTTGACAGTTTAGTAACCATAACTTGATGGAAACTAGAAGCATTTGAAGTCATTTAAATAGTCTAGGAACAACATTCGTAATTATACACTAATGAAGAGCAATGCACCTGGATATTTCACATGAGTTCCTGAATAGTACTTACCTCCTTTAAATAGCCCTCCACCGCATCACATCCCTTTAGAAATATCTCAATTATGTCTAACTGAGATAACACAAAAAAAAAAAAAAAGATTTCTCATCAGTATAAAGCTTACATAGCCTTGAAACACAAAAAGGTTAATAAACTAGTTTGTCCATGTTCTTTTTGAACCCTCAGGATTGGCTAGTTTGCAGTGCAATTTCATTTTCATTGGTGAAAAAGTATGGGAGTGCAAATGATTCGAGTGTAAATTCTGACTTATTTTTGCTTCAACTCTTGCCTTATTTTGTTTGTTTAGAGTACAGATCAAGTAAAGAAAAACATGAAGCACAGTGAAAGTAGAAATGGACCAGAATTTGCATTCTCAAGAATTTGTACTAATGCAAATGAAATTGCACTACAAACAAACAGAGCCTCATCCACAGATTATTATACAAGCTGCTGACTGGATGAAAAAGGTAAACGGAATCCTCAGAAAGTTTTTCCTCAAAAAGTTGAAACTTGACTTGAAATATACACTAGATGGTTTTGTTGAGATAGACAACCAATTATTCCCCAGGTTATTTACAGTTTTGAACAAGCCCAGGTAAGGAGAGAAGGGTGATAGGTTTACTTGCAAATCAGAATGCTTAACTGTTTTCTTTACATGTTCATCATGAGACCCGTCAAAGAAAAACCTGCCATCCAAATGTAGACACCCAAGGCATTCCAAATGTGTGTGATACTGGCATACACCTTAAATACTATGCAAAGGTATTTACAAAGACCCCAGTTGTCTCTTAGAAACAATGCCAGTAGAAGCATGATATTATTTTTTTTTTGATAGGCCATGACATGATTATTTTTACCTTTTTCTCACAGTTAACAAGATCAAAGCATTTTACTAAATATAGAAAAAAGTACAAAGAACCTTCTATCTTTGGGTACAAGGACCAAGAAAATAGAAAATATCAAAATACAGCCACAAAAAAGACTACCCAAGTACAGAAACCATTCTTTGATGACTACCCTGGTAAGAGTCCAAACCCCAATGAAAGCATCTATTCAACCCCTTCGGCCCTTCCCTAGCAAGAGCATTACTAATGCATGGGCTGAACAAGGTGTTCATTCTAGCAGTCAATGCCCTTCCCTGATAAAAGCATCACATGATCATAAATGTACAAGAAGCCATGTCAGACATCGTTCATGATTGTCAGTTACAAAATGTCATTTATTTATGATCAACAACACTTTTATCTGGGTAAATATCTTTGTTAGATTTCTGTTTATTTCAAATATTACCTATAAAACCGATGTGACTTTCAGGTCCTATCAACTTAGCTACATTTTGTTAATTAGACACATTCATGAAATAAAGTAACTTAGGAAAACACCACATAGTAAATGAAAAAAACCATATTTGGCATCTTTTCAGATTCTTTGAGGTTGGTCTGTCAGTAACGTACAAGCGTCAGTCAGCACATCTAGTGGCTCAAGTGGGAGGACCAGTGATATGCTGTATCAGCACTCTTGTAAGAGAAACCATATAGCCTTTGGGGCCCATATGTAAGTTCAAGTTAGGATGTTGATGATTAAGTCAAAAGCTTAGCTTTTAATAGTCTTTCATTCATGTTCTGTTTGTATCTTGTGCTATTTGAACCCTATCTAGGAGTTTTTTGAAAAAGGTGACTCATAAGAGAAGATAGTATTGAGGTTGTAATGTGATTTACCTAGACTAGAGCTAGGGTAGAACTAACCCAAGCCTGGCCAGACTCGGCCCACCACAATCTTTTCCTAAGCCTGGGTCCAAATTTTCAGGCTACAGGCTGGACATAGGCCTGAAAAGTGAAAACTTGGGCTGAACTGGGGTTAATGCATCAGGTAGTCTGAGCCAGTGTTGCATTAACTCTCCTAAAGGGCCCAACGGTCCATGTCAGAGACATCAAACTCTGACAATTCATAGATTGTTGAGGGACACCTTCTATTCTCATTGCTTATTTGACATAAATGAAAAATTAATGTACACATTGAATGCCATTTTTCCTACAAAAGTTTTATTAACAAACATAATCCTTTTAAAAGTTCTTTCTGTAGGTTTATAATGTTAAAATTCAATAAATATGGAGTATTTTAATAGTTTACACTTGTTTATAGACATATCCATGAGTCTTGCTTTTTCATCCAGCCTAGTCAGAGTTCTTGTCGCATGTCCATTTCCATGCAACACTAGCCCGGGACTGATCAAAGCTCAGCTCAATGTAGGCCAAAGTATGCTCTTGGCTTCATTCCATTGGGGTTAAAATTCTGGACAGAGATATAGGACAGGTATCCCATTTAATATGCTTATATCATGTGTTTATATCTAACTTTGAAGCTAGATGCCATCCCTTAAGACTTATGTCTTGCCAAGTTTAATTAAATTTCTAACATGTGGAGATATTTTTATAGTATAATTTGTTAGTAAATCTAGTATGCTAGGTGTGTTCAGGTATCTGAATATAGTGTATCATAGACCCAGATGTGTATTGGTTTAGGTTGGGCTTGACCTCAGTCCCTAAGTTTCATATTTCCCACCCAAGTTGCATCCCAGATTAAGTATGCAAGTTTTCAAAGTTATTTTAAGAACGGAAATTTGGGGAAAAAAAACTGCTATTTCCATTGCTATCCATATGATGATAAAGGCTTTCTCAATTTTTTTTATCTGGATTTCTCTTTTATGATTTTTGTAGATGCAAAATTTCTTCACTGCTGGTGTCACTAGTTCAGGACCAGCATTTTCATACTATGATTAGTTTATTCAAACATCTAATGCCTTTTAAGTTTGATTTGATCTGCTGTTAACAATATATCAACAGTCTGAATGCAGCAATAGAAAATTCTTGATTGCAAGGACTAATTTGGCTTATTCTTAAGGCTTTGGAAGCAGTACAAATGCAAATATGTACAGCATAAATACATACAAAATAACACAAAATATAAGGTTTTGCACTCTACATATTTGCATTTGTACTCCTTCCAAACTCAGCCTAAAGGGTAAATGATAGTCTGTAAATAATTTTGTGAAGTTCAGTTCAATCAAGTTTACTGGTGTAATTTAAATTTCATTTAAGCTTGACTTCTTTCAGCTGATTACAAGCCGGGCAGACCGCGCCGCGGTCTTTTTCCATTTGGTTCGTAACAGATCTAGCTGCCAAAAGTCGGTAAGCCAAAAAGGCGAGAAGCCCATTTTGGGCTGGTTTCGGAAAGCTCCAGATGGAGCTTTTCGCATCTTTCTCACACGGAAAGACATGCAGTAGCCAAACTAGCTTCGGGCTGCTCAGATCTTCATGCAAAAGCTCAATGTGTCTTTTGACTGTCAGAGCTACTAGAAGATCTTTTTTTTTTTATTATCAATAGCTACTAGAAGATCTTCCCAAAAAGACTTGCCAAATGGCCCCTATATTTGGGTCTGTCCATGGTCAGTTGGTTTTGCTCTTAACTGTGCATGACATAAAGTTCCATATGGTGAAACAGATAAATATCAGAGTAAGCAACATTGTAAAATTAAGTCTAACTATACTGATATACCACATTATGTTACCAAAAGAGTAGAACAAATGATTAAGTACAAACCTGAGTACCAGGATCTTTCAACTTAACCAAAATTTCTGCCACAAAACGATGGCACAGTGAACAACTATTTTGATGCTGTTTCGGAGTACTTAACATCTTGTTACAGAGGTTCACTTTCTTGCAGAACTCTCCAGGTTGTATCTCAGAAATCTCTAAGAAGAACAGAGGGCCATAATAGTCTACCAGTGTGATACACTGCCAAAATAAATTTCTTTAGGAAGTTAAGAAACTAAACACAGTTCAATGCAGTAACAAGATAAATATAGAGCAAATTTTGATCTAAGGCTGTCTATTTTACAAAAGAAAGAAATCCCAAAGGCACCTGCAGACTTTGAACCTACTTTGTCAATTTCTTTGGAACCTAGAAATATTCCCAATTATCAATCTTAGCACCAAAATGGAAGTCTACATTTTCTGAAAGTACTGGTATAACTAAGTCATATTTAATATCACAAGTTCACAACATGAAACTTGTCATGCTTACTAACATGTGTGGGATTATGGGGCATATAGGAACATATTGGGTCCTTGGAATTTTCAGCTGCATTTACCATAACCAATCAACTGTCATGGCTCCTTTTGTGCAGGAGAGTCCCTGAACAAAATTTTCCCTGCTTTTGAGTTTTGAACTAAAACAACCCTATAAATATTAAATTGTATGTTTTAAGCATTTAAAAAACAGGCAATACTGTCTCAAAAGAGGAAAAAAAAGATAAAATAAGATGGTTATTTTAATCTCAACAGGCATTTAAAATATTTCGATGAGAATATCCCAAGTAAAAAGGAGACTGGCAATGGCCATCTCCAATAAGAAATCCCAACTTTTGGTCTGTATTTAGGAAAAGAATATCTTATCAATGGAAAAGATAACTTCACTAAAGTGGTCATAAACCACGAGATCTTCAAAAAAGTTAACCAACACAAGAACCTTATAAGCTACCCCACACTCCCAATGCCCCTGCCCCTCCCCCTGCCTATGTGCTACCATGCATGATATATTGTCAAATCTTGCATGAGTTAGTATACAAGGTGATACGCTAATCAGATTGATCAAAGAAAAAAAAAAAAGAAAAAGGTGATTCACTAATCAAAGTTTAGCAGATGAATCTCAGAGGCATATCACCAAATAAATAATTTCCCATTGTTACCTGCTGTTTGAAAGAGTGCAAACTAGAACAGGCAACATGAAGCATGTCTATGACCTCAGATTGGGTCTTATTTTCACCAAGGTAGTATAATGCCTGTGCAGTGAACTGTTCACACAAATCACACACTCTTTCATTCCTTGGAATCAAATCAAAAGCTTGAAGCTTGTTTTTGAGCTCCTTTAAGTGTATTTGCCTGACTAAAATCATGAACCATGAAAGTATTAACACTCTTTTTGTCAAAAAAAAGAAGGTAAAATGATCTATATCAATTTATAAAAGAAAAGCCAATTTCACATCTCCAAAGAGTTGCAATGCACTATGGAGCCTAAGAGGATTCCCCACTTGCTCAGATCAATTAAAATAAAATATTTGTTTCTGGATCTCATTTTCCCAAGTATTCATTTGGGAAAAATCTTCCATAGCAGGTATGAGAATGTCTGGAAGCCAGAAAATTACAGCATCAAACTATGTAACCATTTATATACCACAGACAAACCATTTTGCTCAAGGTAATGTATGTATTAGGAAATTAAAATCTCATGAAGAAAATATAGGAGAAGTTTCAAACAGTAACATGGTGGGGTATGGTGCTTGGAATCAGTCTAAAAACTTACCATATACATCAGGGACGACCATCTCCCTCTGTGAAATATCAGAGATCTCCAGGACCCTGGCATCAACATAGACCCAGCTGATACCCAATACAAGAAGAAATAAAAGCCCTCCTCTCACAACCATGGTGCCTGAAAAAAATATATATAATAAGCACCAAACTTAACAATCTTGTCATGGCCAATTTAGATAAATATCACAAATCTTCCGGTTCTATTTGATCAAAAGCATAGGTGAATAGCACTCACAGTGCCTGAAAAAAAAAAAATGGTAACCCAACTAAACAATCTCACCACAGCCAAATTAGCTAAAGACAGGAAATCTTATAGTTCTATGTAATTATAACTAGAGGTGAGTCTGGTCCTTAGCTCTTTTAAAATGATAAGAACTGACAATAGCCACTCAAATTCAACAAATTACAATAGGATAAAATCATAAAAGAACAGGCATATTAATAGTTAATTTTAGTTGAAGACTTTTCCATGGATCATACCAATTAATATGGGTTTGTGGTTATTCCTTTCCTAATATGTTGCCCCATCAGAGAACTAATTTAATCTTTAATCTGAGAATTGCATTGCATGACAAGCATCTAACATGGTTGGAAACCAGTTCAAGACATCGAGACAACCCAAAACAGAGTATTCGGCAGCAGCCAGATCTAACCAACTTCACATACTTGAACACCCATCATGTAAGTATTTGAAAAAACAGAATCACCGAAACAAAGACATACATGTGTTTCTATGCCGACACACTGGTGGTTATCCTGTTGTACAATTCATTATGATTTCCCATAACTTACAGAATCAAAAACATATAAATTTTGGGTAAGAAAATTATAGAAATACATAATAAACAGCTATCGCAGGCATATTAGTCAATAGTTTAGTTGTGGGAAAAGCAGAAACAAAAACTCAAAATAGTTCAGTTTTGAAGCTAAACTTTAATTTCCATAGCACGAATATCAAACTAAAAGTAGAGAAACGCGTAACAAATCCCTGAATTCATATACCCCAAACAACAAATCAATCCAAACATCCTAATAACTATAGTCAAATAACATAGCTGTGAAGAGAAAACATGGAAGATTAAGGCATAATTTTCACATAGATCAAAATCAAAATAAGAAACCCAAAAAAAACTCAAATTCAAACAGATGGAAATAATAGATTATACCTGAACAATTGTAAATAAAGAAAGTAAAACCCTTTAGTTGTTAAAACTTAGAGAGAGAGAGAGAGAGAGAGATCAAATTCCAAACATGAACATGGTCCGATGCGCGGAGAGAAGAGTGGAAGCAAGAACAATTACCTTACCCAGAAGAAAGGAATCAGAGCTGGAGAGAAAAGGGTATTAGCCTTCCCTTGCTGGGGTTGCGGTGCGGTGGAGTTGGGGAAAGTCGCAAGCATAAGCAAATACTTATCAGCTCCCATCGGGCCACAACAGGACGAAAATGGAGTGACCAGATTACCTGTCAACATAACACATTCCAACCCTCTACCAACATCATCTCACACCGCAAATCTGATATGGGTTTAAGTCTCAAGTTAAGATGTGCGGTGTGAGATAATATTGATAGAGGGTTGGAACGTATTTTGTTGCCTAAAAGTCTCAATTCGAAAATGGAACTGACCACACCAGTGGAAGCTTCATTCGTCCCTCTTGCTTGTCCCGCTGGTAATAACTCTCTCCCCATATCTTAGTTTCCTGCTATAATATATTGGGCCCAATCTTGGCTCAGACCGGGTTCTATTTTGGACTTATGATTTGGTCCACATGTCGCTATATTGTATCTCTCGTCCTTGTTTTTTCCTATTTTTGCCTCGTGCTACATTTCTTGGCTCATTTATAATTTGAAGTTATGCCAAAACTTTGCTTGAAAAAATCACCTAACATTCTGTTTTTGAAAAATGTTCATATTCTTGACCTCACTTGCCATATATACTTTGTCACGTCATTTACTGTTTTACTCCCTTCTATCCGGAGTTCATTAGTGAGGCTGACAAGTAACTTCTAATTTTCTTTTAAGGCCTTAGGCTAAATCCACTCAACTAAAAAGAGTTACACATTACTCCCAAAAAAACGTTGACAATGAAAGTAGGGAGGACCAAGAATTTTACCAATTTAGGATGTTACTAGTTGATGATTTTGAGTCATCTTATTTAGGGGTGGAAGTTCGATTCGAACTAGAGATTTGAGTTCAAGTTCAACTATATATATGTATGTATGTATGTATGTATATATGAATATGTGTGTATAATAAAAATTATTTATTTATTATACTAGACTCATAAACCTCACGGGTCAAGTTTCATTAGGTTCAAGCTCAGCTTGATACTCAATTTAAATCGAGTTGAACCGAACTTTTTACAAGCTAAACTTGTATAATTCATAAAAAAAAAACTCAACTCGTGGCCACCCCTAACCTTATTACAACTCTTGGGGGCATCATCATTCTTTCCTACCTAAATTAATGAAGGGCTTTAATGATAGGCATTATGATTTATGGCCTTGGCCAAGCCCTTATCACCTCATCGATGCATTTATGGTAGGTAACGCTCGTCCACATGGTTTGCGTCTTAATTGCCTCCTGCTTAATAACACCCAATGTGCGGAGTTGTTATGAAGCGTCCACCATGCTCACACTTGGGCAATTGCGACTAGGGGACTACTTCAGGTATATTCTTACTAACCCTCTACACTTAACTACTCTTGCTTTCTTGAGACCTCGACCCTCTTGAGCCCTTAGCTAATTTGACTGTTGAAAGACCATATCTGAGCCTCTAACGTCTTTCGACTATTTGTAGGTAGAACCCTTGGCCTTACCACTACCAAAGCATAGAAATTACCCCTGCTGCTATCTTTGGTAGCATTAGCACCAGTGGTTCACTATGCTCTATTAACACAAGGTCGAATATAAACTTTGCATTACTTTCAACAACTATGCTAGAAATTAAGCTGGAGGGATAATGCTATCTTCAACGCCCACCCCTGAAAGAGGATGAGAAACTGATTTATTAGTATTAATCAAGGTTTTAAAATTGACCCAGAACCAGAATTGTTCTAGTCATTGGTTTTGGGTCGACAATTCAACCATCCGATTCAAACAGATGGCCCTTTCCAACTGAAAATTTTAAAAATATATAAAATAAAATAAAAATATGGCCAAAAACGTTAAATGGGTCAAATGAATTAACGGTTCAACCACTCATGTCGGTGGATCACTAACCAAATCAATGGTTTTTGGCCAAGGAATGGGTTGAGGGTGAAACAGAACCGGCTGTCTGGATGGTTCCCGGGCCAACTGGTTTGACTGTCCAGGTCAACGACAGTTCAAAAACACTAGTATTAATTTTGATAACACAGCAAGAGGTGCATACGAAGGGCACATATTTCTTCTTCAAAAAAGATCAATATCATCATCTTCAATGATGGACCAGGGTTGCACATATTTCTTCTCAAATAAAAAGCTAATTCCTACCATATGTGTCAATTCGGATTTGCTCCCAATTGAGTGCTCCTCACAACACATCTCACCGTGCATTAAGAACATATTCCCATAAATAACAATATATATACAAGTATGAGAAATGTTCCCAATGTGTGATTAAAATATACCATGTGAGATTAGTGTGAGAAGCACTCCACGAAGAGCAGATATGTACTCACCACACAGCATAAGAAGGGCCAAGGGAATTCGGATCACCTGCCAGCAAAATACGTTCCAACACCCTATCAACACAATCTAACACCACACATCTCATACCTGCCAGATCCCACTTTTATGGTGGGTCTCAGTCTCATGGTGAGATGTATAATGCCGGATCATGTTGGCAGGGGTTGGAACTTGGAATATATTCTGTTGGCAGAAGATCCCAACTCATCGGGCCAATGTATATGTTGGCTTTGACTCCCCTCTGGTACCATCATGGGCAGTCCACCAATACTAGAGCCGATCCCTAAGAGAGAGATCACATTGGCGCTCCCACATGCACATCTCGTCATGCATGAGGAGCATCTCGAATACTTATCATGGAGAGATGTTCCCAATACACGGGTAGGAGGTGCTGTGGGCCGCCGGTGCCAATTTGATCTCACTAGAAGAATAGTGGGGGTAGGTATTGACTCTAAGTGAAAGAGCTTCCGATCCAAAATCCTATACTATCACTATTAACATCAGCAAAAGTAATATGATTTTGCACTTTAATTTGCTGATTTGGAAATTCTTTTGTTTTGAAAAATAAAATCATAAATGTCAAGAACATAATTCAGAAATAGAGAATTCAGTGTAGTTCTCCAAAAACATAAAGGTGTAGATGTAATTTTCTCTGAAATAAAAACTTAAAAAGTTGATTGGGAGATCAAATTCCAAACTTGGGGTTGAAATGTTGAATCTCACCTTCATCATTCTTAATCAATTAAACCATTCAACCATACTTCTTAGAAAGGTTTTGAACTCATAGATGGGGTTGAATGTGATAAACTAAGACACTCGAGTTTGAAGGAAAAGATTTTCTTTCTCTGTATGTCTTTTCAATCGAACATTACAAGATATATATAGAGATAGAGTTAGCTCCCTCTTGCGATTAGGATACAAACTCCTACATGGACAATGAAAACCAAAACAAAGAACAACTAAGATAACAATTAAGATTCATACACCAGATGGGACTCATACAGTAAGAAGGATAAAGCTACGCTAATAGAATGGGCCCTGTCTCTGCCAAAGAAAAGTGAAATCAAACGATTTTTAACCCTCTGAGTGTAAAGCTGTTTTCTTGACTTTGACATGATTTTAGTCACATTCAAAAACCAACGTTTTCCAGTTAAGAAAGAGTAGTGAGTTATAAGAAAATGACATCTCTTTAATTTTTATGTAAATCATTCTTCGATTAGAGGGTTGATTCATGACTGTGCATTTGTGCTCCTCTTCATTCAAATCTTGTGAGACCGGTATACATCTCAAAAGCTTCAGCTTGTTAATCCAAAGTTCAAGAAAAGTAAGAACATAGATCATTTTTTTATTGCCATTTTTAAGAAAATAATTTATTTTCCGTTATTTTACAGAAAACCAAGCACAGACAACATGCCCCAAACCTGAGAAAGTACAGCCGTACAGGGGAGGGAGGACATAACCCGCCTTACCCCAAACTCGAGAATGTATATTCTCTCCCTCACCTACCTCACATTCAGCCCAATCCAAAAAAGATTGCTTTTGAGAATGTATAAACCAGTCAATTCATTATTCACCACCTGTTTCATATGATTGGGTAGATCATTAATGGATTGAAAAATTGCTTTCAAGGCCGTATCAACATCCAATTTTGCTCATAAATCAGCAAAGTTGAAGGCCGTATCAACAACACCCAACTTTGCAATAAGCAAAGTTGAAGACCGTCATATAGAGCTTTGACTTGAGCTTGTATCGAAGTGCAATGGCCATGGAAAGAGTGAAATCCAGCTTAAAAATCTTCCTTTACAATTCCGGATAATGCCTCCTCCACTCCCTAAACCGGGATTTCAATTTAATGAAGCCCCGTGCGTTAGGGTGCCGTTCATTTAACCCATATCTCCCTAACCTAAGCTGGACTAAGTTTTTGGCTAAAACATGAATACTCATGGTGCAGGAGCTATCAATGACCCGAGGAGGGTCCTATTTATTCAGCTCAAACAGCCACTGTTCTATGCGAATTGTAACTTGGTTAGTGGTAGTAGCTTTGCCCTCCACACAAATTTCTCAAAGAAGAATTAAGGGGACTAATTTGAGAACTTGGCTTCTTTGACTATTTCTGACTTTCTGTCACACAGGTGCCACCAATCAATAACTCGGTCATGAACATGTTGAGGAGATATGAATTTGGATGTCAAAAGCATTAGCAAAGAAGTTCCAAGATTTTGAAGCAAGGATACCAATTGATAAGATATTATTAAAGTTTTCTTGTTTGGGGTCCCGCAACAAGTGCATTTTGAGGCCAAGGAAACCCCAAATCTTTTGATAGACTTATCCACTGCAATTAGGCCTTGCATAAACGGCCACATAAATACTGCTATTTTCAATTTTCATCGCCCATCGGAAGTCTATCATTCCATACATACTTGGGCTAAATCAGGGTGTTTTTTGAGCTCTTAACCTGATTCCAAGCCGAAGAAATAGTAAAAAGACCATTAAAATTTGGGGTCCAAACCAGTCTGTCATTAAGGGTCCATTTGGTTCATAATTGGAATCGGAATTGAAATCAGAATCAGAACCAGAATCCTTTAGAATTGGAATCAAAATGGTTTATTCCCCTTACCTGTTTAATTCAGACTAGAATTAGAATTGGAATCAGAACTGACAGGAATGGATTTTTATTCCCAAGAGAGAGGGAGGGAATGACCATTCCCTCAAATGAAAGAATGTCATTCCAACAGAAATGAAAATGGAATTTCGATTCTGATTCGGGACCTCTATTCCTGTGAACCAAACAGGCCCTACGTTGCTTAACTTAGTGTTCGAATTGCTAGCCAGAGCTTGAATATCCTCTTCAACATTGAACTGAATGGGAAAATGCCAATTACCGTCCAAGCACAGCCAACTTTTTTTTTTCTTCCATCATCCAATTTTGAATTTTTGATTCAGTAACTAGTAAATGGAAATGGAATGGTTATAATAACCCAAGACATGCTAATTCTAAAATTTTGGCGTAAGTGGTCTACCAGCTGCCCATACAGAATAGGGATGGGCCCTGATTCTTAAAACATGGGACAGGTGGCAAGTTAAGGGGATGCAGGCTTCTCTCAAGTGGGAACTGGGAATCATAGGATGGCTGATGGCTTATTACCCTGAATTTTGACCTAAATAGGCAAAGATGTGACAAAAAGAGTTTGGCTACATCAGGTCATGTACATTCAGACCCTCCGACATAAAGACTATGGTCCCTGTAAAGGGTAACCACTAGACATTTGTAGCCTGTCATTTTATATCGTTGGTGCCACAGTGCCACTCGTGAAGCATGTTGCATTACTTATTTTATCATCACAAGGAATTAGAAATATGAATGAACAAGAAACGAGTCGAGTTGTTTGTTGAAAGTTCCAGGAAATTTCTCTGTGGTTTAAAGTTCAAACATTGTCATTGGACCGTCCACTGGTTGTTCCATATGACCCCGGTATTTAGCATTAATTGACCCAGATAGACCATCTTAACAGCTACCTTCTGTTCTGGGGTTCGCTAAACTTGTTAATTCCCTACGTTCACCAAACTGTGGATTCCGTAGTTTTATTAGAGATTCATCAAGTTCTTGGTTAATCACTAATGACCAAGTGCTAAATTTGATTCAGCATTTTAGTCATTCGAGTCGTGAATTTGATTCATTAGTCTTAGTTTAGGATGTCACTAGTAAGTAGTTTATAATTGCAAAAGCTTGTTCTGTTTACAAGTTCCTCATGAGCTTAGTCAGTTTATTGCACAGGTTATATTCAGTATATTCATGGTAAATACAGATAACAAGTAACAACTACGGACAACACTACTCATTATGGTGTGCTAAAATGCCCGAGATGCTTCTCTTCCATATAAAGAATAAACTAGTAAGGTCCATGTATATACGTGATGTGATGATGTGACCTACTTATAGAATCATAGATATATAGCGTTTTAAAACTTGACATACCTTAAATTTATGTTTGGTTGAACTGTAATGTGGACTGATCTACACTATCTCATGATTGTTCCACACTATTCTATTTTGTTAAAAACACCACACTGTAATATTTTTAATATGTTAAAAATTTATCAATTTTATTGATTTTATCATATTTTTAATCAATTATTAGTATCTAATTAACAGGTGAAGACAGTGATTTATATTAATTAATATAATACTTATGATTATATACATTTTACCAAATATGCATATATTTTATTCTTAATTTTTAGATTTTTTTATTACTTTTTATAAAATGGGTTTCAGTATTTTTTTAATTATTCATCTTATAAATAAAATGCATTATTTTGCATTGCCATAGTTAAATTGTATTATTTTTTATTATATGTATTACCTAAAAAACAACATATTTTTCATTATTGATTAAAAATGTAGATTATCTCACATGTTGTATGTGAGATATATGAAACCAAAACACAGTGTGGATTGAACTGTAACCACACCATGTAGAACGCCTATAAGGGTGTAATGTGGTTACCGTCCACCCATTTTATTTACAGGGCAGAACGATTCTTCTGTGGTGGTGTAGTGTGGATTCATCTATGCCATAGGTCCACACTACATAGCACCCCATAATCACCTCCTGTTCTCCATCTCTAAAACTTGTGGATAATATTACCAAAACCAGCTCATATTTATAGAATTCAATACCTGAATTCCTATTTACCAAGGGTGTCCAAGGTAGAGAAGGAAGGTATTCATTTTGCTTTTTGCAAGCTGGAATGTAGAATTTAATGATTTGGCTCTGCTACTCTGTAAAAGAATCCTGTCATAAGTCATAACAAGCATCATCATTCATGCACAACACCAATCTCAATATGAGATCAAAATTCCATGAGATTGGTATCATAGTTAATAGATATTAGCAATCAGTTAGAATTTACCTTTTAAGAGCAACTTATGATGAATCCCAGGTTACCACTAATTAAAGATGGTACTCTGAACAGGCGTCATCATTCATGCACAACACCAATCTCAATATGAGATCAAAATTCCATGAGATTGGTATCATAGTTAATAGATATTAGCATTCAGTTAGAATTTACCTTTTAAGAGCAACTTATGATGAATCCCAGGTTACCACTAATTAAAGATGGTACTCTGAACAGGCGTCATCATTCATGCATAACACCAATCTCGATGTGAGATTAAAAAAACACTACGGACATTGGCATCATCGCATACAGTTACGGACTTGGAATTTACTAGCAGCTCCTCAGCTCCTCCCCTGCCCAAGGTCAAGCGACATTCAACAGGTGATAACTGGCTATGTCACAGTGCTTTCCTTTCCTTTCTTTATTTTCTGTTTTCCTTTCCTTTTTTTGTATGTGTGTGAGGGGGGGGATAGAATTCTACAAGTCTACAACTAGTTTTGATGTAGCTGCGCATCAGGAAACTGTTCAATTGAGGATTGGAATACCCATTCTCATTGCACCATTCTATACCAGCTTTGAGAAATGACAAATATATATGAAAATATAACAGTATATCAAACATCTTTACAAACAGATGATAAAGAAATAACCATAATTTGTCCAAACTAGAAGGAAATAAACGAACGACAAAAATTACAAAAGAGTTGATGGACAAATAAAACGACCAAGTAAGTTTACTTAAGTGCCTGCTTTTTTTTCTTACTTTGTTTCGTCAACAGGAGTGAAAACCGGGCAAAAGCAAACTTCTTCCTCTTGGCAGAAAATTGTTTGTGAGCATTTCCTTCTTTAACAGGCTTATAAGGAGGAGATAGAACACCACTTTTTTTACTTAACATCTGACCCAGTGACATCTTTGGTTTCTCAATGCTATCTTTCTCCTCCATTTCAAACTCTTCTGGGAGAAGCAGCTTCCTGCTCAATATTTGTCCTATTGACAAGGTTGGTCTCAAGACAGGCTTTGACCCATCAATACTCATGTTCAGTCCATTTAGATCAAGCAGCCTTGAATCTCTGCGATGGTAAGATGGGTAGGAGTTCTTGAACTTGGTAGAGTTGTATACTGAGCGTCTTTTCTGACCATGCTCCGATCTCCATTTCCTCAGAGCCTCTTCCACAGCAAGCTTCCCCCTATTTGCAGCCTCCACTCTGTTCAGAGCCTCTTTAAGAGCCATTTTACTGATTTTAACTTCTTCTGCTGCTTGCTCCACCTTCTTTAATATCTCCATCTTAGATATATTTGCTTCATCTATTCGAAGCATGGCATCTATCACCTTCTTCTTTGAGCGCACCTCAGCTTGTTGAGCTTTGTGGGTTAGGGAAGAATACTCTTCAAAAGAAAGAGTTACTCCTTCAGGATTTTGCTGGAAAACCCCAGATGAGCTCTCACTGTTTGCTAGAGCCTTGATCTCTGCAAAGGCAACAGCTTCAGCTGCTCTAGCTGCTTCCTCCATCTTTTTGGCTGCAATCATCCGGATCTCAGCTGTTTTTATACTCGTCTTTGTCTGTTCGATCTCTGACATTGCTTTCAAAACTTCAGATTGAGCAGTTTCTGCCATCTTCTTAAACTTCTCAACCTCCAAATTTAATTGTTGGAGCTCCCTTGAAATATCGGTTGGGTTATCAGAACCATCCTTAATTTCTGCATCTTTAGTCAGTTGTAATTTGAGCCTTGTTCTGTTTAACTCTTCCTCCAGAGAAGATATCTTGGCAGAATTCAACGTCAACCTCTCGCGAGTCTTTTCTAGTGAGATTCTTTCATTCTCTATCTTCTTGTTGAATTCTTCAACAGAAGAACGAATTTCAACAATATCACTTGTTGTCCTGTTTAGATTCACCTTCGCCTGCTTTAATTCCATTAATATTGTACCTGGAGACGAAGAGGCATGCAGGCTCACACCTTCCACTGGATTCTGATGCATCCCTAAAACATTTTCTGGATTTTGGTTTTCTTTTTCTTCAGCACCTATATTTATCTTCTTGCTATCTGAATTTGAATCCAGGTTTGCAGCTCCTTGGGATGTTTCTCTCTGGAGCTGCAACCTCAAGTCCTCAACAATCCTTTTTGTTGATTCCAGTTCTTTTAAGACCTCTAGTGTTTCCCGCTCTTTGACAATCAAATCTTTCTCTAACTGGACAGCTTGTTCCTCTACTTTTGCTATATCAACCTCCTCGGGACCATGCTGCATATGACAGAAACGTCCTCTTTGTTATAAACAGTTATTTGCTAAGAGTAAATTAACGGTATCCATCTTGTATTTATGGTACACTGGTGTACAATCAGTGTGTTATCTGTTATGCCATTCTCATTTATTTCCAATTAAGAGATCATCTAGACAAATAAAATTAGGAAAACATGTGGAAGTAAATTGTGAAGATGAGGATATTTTCTACAATAAGAAGCAAACAAAGTTCTTTACAGTAATGGGCTTCATTCATCCTGCATTTTTGCCAGGTGTGCTGTTATATGCAAGTCTACCATAACTACAGTCTTACTAGGAGTATCATAGATACTGAGGAACATACATAGTATATCCAGGTTTACACTTACAAAAATGAAGGCGCAGTAGAGATAACAATCTAGGCCTTCTTGGGTATCCACAACTCAACTAAGCCATATCCTTAAGATGAGACTAAGTGGAATGCCTAAAAGCTTGGAATTAGCAGAATGTAGCATGCATTTTTTCTCTGCTATCTCTAGAAGGAGAAATTTTTTTTATTTAAATATTTCTAGAAACTCAGTAAATTCAAACGCAGATCTCATAATGCAGAACCATATATCTAAGCAATGTAAAAAAGAAACAATTGGAACTGGAAAAGGAAGGGGAATTACATTTACTCTATCATAAGCTCATAACAAAGCTTCAAATTACATACTAAATAGTTTGTTTCTTAAATAGAAATGAAATTAAAACATGTGAAACTTCCCCAGCCGAATAACGTCAGAAATAGAAATGGAGAAAAGTACAAAATATAAATTATAAATTCATGATACTCAAGATTTTACGGATGAAAATTGAAAAAGAGAGCAGGAATGACAATGTGCCTTCTTTTTTCTACTTTGGTAAAAACAAAGATGAAATATTTAATTAAGGAATAAATAAAAAAAAAAACTCATACCCCAGATTGAATGAGCTTGGGAGGAGGTCTCCAAACACCGCTACCACCAAAGCGGCTAACGGCCTCCTTTACGGACTCGAACGGCGGAGACGTATCGATCTCGGCCCTGAAACTGGTGCCCTTGTTGTTGTCCTGCGCATTCTGGGAAACGAGGGTTTGATTGGTGCCAGATTTTGGGGTTTGGGGTGGTGGAGTTTTGGTGCCTGAATCTGGGGCAATGGATGTGGGTGAAACAAGTTGGGTGCAGGATTCCGGTGGTTGGTCCATTGCAGTTGAACAGCAAGGTTCAGGGAATGAGCAGAAGTATGAATACACTCAACAATGGTAGCCGATTCGAATGGCCCTCTTCTAGTTTAGATTATTAGGGTCATTGTTTTGAAGACAAAATGGGAGGAAAAGAAAGAAAAAAGTATCCCCGAAACAGAAAGCATAGAGAGAGATGATAGCGTTGATGATGTTGGAGATAGTGGAGTGGAAGTGAGGGAAAGTAAAGCAGCGGCAATACAGAGTAAGAGCAGCGAGACAGTAAGAAAGGAAAGCTGTTGGAATACTGGAAAGTGGATATACCACACTACTGGCTACTGCAGTGATATTATGAATTTGTCTGATGCGAGGACTGGAAGAGGAGAGACGTTGGATCCTAGGTGGTAATTCGAAAAATGTGTTTTCCAGTAAAGCCCTTAAAGTTAAGATGACTTACATCTAAGCAGTGCGCACCGGCACCGGCACCAGCACCGCCGAGATAGGAAGTATGTTAAAGGCTTAAAGCTTCTATGGTGTATCAGTGTGATGTGGAACCATATAAATATAAATAGGGAAGAAAAGAAAATGATGTAAAATGTCCGAAAGTGGGCCCTCCAATTTCCAAGTAAAAGCCTAAAAGGTCTACTAGTCTACTACATTACATCAAAGGGCGGTGGTAGTAAATCGACGATGGTCGATTGACTGATAAAATATACATGTGGGATGGCAACAGAACATCCACAGGAGAAGCAAAAAGCAAATTACCAAGTAGCCGTTCCCGTAGAATTAGAAAAAGATAAAAGATATGTTTGGCAGATGAAGATAAGATCATCATTCAAGCGAAGGTGACCGTTTTTACTTTTTACTTTTTGCCCAAAGCTTTCCTCTCGTTTCTTCTTTTCTTTCAGAGGTTTTACCTTTTTTTTTTTGTTTTATTTGAGTCCAGATGAAAGAATGATGAGAACATCAGCGAGAGCGACCGTTGGATAGAAATTTTCTTTACGAAAATGCCCTCGTAAAAGATGGAATTTGAAAAAAAAGAAAAGAAAAAGGGGTAAGGGTGATTGATGGGCATATGCATCCGTTAATAATAGACCGTTGGATTATTGTCCTTTGGTTTTCAGTGCACGACTTCCGAAGATGTGGAGTACTCTACTTTGTATGTAGTGTCAAGTGTGTAGGACTAGGAGGGCCTCAAGTCTCTCAGCCGACCGACACGGCGACACTTCAACCCTGCCAATTGTGAATTGCCAAAGCCCAACACCATCCATTGATGATTGATCGGATCCACATCAATAATCCACAATATAAGATAAGCGGTTCCTTTTGATTCTACATAAATGATTTTTTCATTTTATGGATGGACCTGGCCCCAGCGGCCCCAACCCATCTACTATCTCGTGTTAGAAGGAGATTCTCAATCAATCATCAAGCGTCTGTTGGAGTCTGGAGTGGAAGGTGGAGGACGATTTGCATTTGCTGTCTCCTTCACGCATCACTACTTCTGTTGTTGCGCTTTGCAGGCTCCACTATCAACTGTCAAGAAGTTCTCTCACTTCTCAATTAATTGGGTTCTTAGGATGGTTAATGGGCCAGCCCATCTGCTTGTCAACTTTGCTCTTTCTACAACCAACCTCCACAACCCAGTCCTTCACTCCAGATTTTCAAGGACATGGTTCATGCTGCGTTTGATTGCAGTTTAAATTTATGTACTTCCAATGATTTGGGCGCAAATTCTGATTTATTATTTTTAAATTTTATGTTATTTTTTAAATTGCAGTACAAGTAATATAAAATTGAACATGAAGCACAATAAAGTAAATCCCAAAACAAAATTAACCAGAATTTTCATTATTTTCATCTTTGCATTAATGCAAATAAAATTGCATTGCTAATAAAGAGATGTATTCTAACTCCATGATTAAATATGAATGAATTGTTGCTTTAAACAGCCTTTCTTCTTCCTCTTTTTCTTCTTCTTCTTCAAAAAAAAAAGTGGCCCAGGACTGGCTTGTGGATGGGATCTGCACTTGTAAAGAACCAGTTTTCTCTCTACAGTGCTTCTCCTTCAATTAACATTTTTTTTAAGCCAAAGAGGCAAAGTTTCATTAATAAAATGGTCAGATTACAATTACAAGGAGAACAGACTACAAGAAGAGTAATAGAAAGCAACATTGTAAGACAAACTAACTTGCTGTGCAAAGCAGTAATCACGAGCACCAAGAGTGAAATAGCTCAAGAAAATCTCTACAAATGGCATAAAGTCAAAAGAACACACTCAACCTCCAACCAGAGGCAATTAGCATTTGTGATGTGATGGTGCGCAATCCGGCCGGTCTTAGCTGTCAATGGCCTTGCCTCTGAACGGAATTGCGGGGAACCTGAAACAGAGAAGATGAGGAAGCTCCGGGGGGAACCCGGTGTGGAGGCTCCGAAGCTCAAGTTAGAATCCTTCAAAGGCAAGATAAAACCAGATAGCGCAAAGTTTGCATACCTTGTTCTTGGGGGTAGGGAGCCTTTTATAGCCACCCCGTGCACTCACTCCTAAGCTTCTGTCAGGTCGGGTATGATTACCTCTA